ACACTGACACGTCAGACTGGATGTTACTAATTTCATTTGTAATTAAAATTTTTCAAATTTTTACATATCAGTTTGAAACACCCTATTTTTTACGCAGTATTTTTTAGTTTCAAGGATAATCTCTGTGTTTTACCACACTAAAATTCAATCTTAAACACAGCTCCTGTTAATGAGTGTTGATTTCAGACATAAGTGCCACAACAATCGCCCATTTAAAATGTACCTCGTATTTTTACCTCACTTAATTTCAATTTCTCTTGTAATTTCTATCTAACAAATCAATAGGTTTTAATACTAAAAACAATGCTTAATTTTTGCTTCATCATAATCAACAAGGTATAATTAGCCTCACAAAAAAGTGATCACCAATAATCCCGTCCCTCCGAAATACGCTCTTCAATATCTTTTGTCAGTGCTTGCACAACAAAACCCATTAATTCACATTCTTCAGTGCAGCAGCATACCAGACGATCCGATTCGAAATTACGATCATCTACAACTTTTGCAATACACCCATCTTCCAGGAAATTTAGTTCTGCGCAAAGCACACGATCATCTGAAATGAATCAATTTTTTACTCAAAAAATTAGGTAAGCAGTAAACAAATCGCGAATTACAGTTCTGGCAGTTACGATTCCTTTGAAAAGTAAGCAAATATCGAATTACAGTTCTGGCAGTAATGATTCCTTTGAACACATGTCATCATTTAAATTATTTTTGAGTGCCTCCAACTATCATTAGAGAATGACTGTTAGGGACGTTTTGATTTATGACTTTCTGAGTTAAAAAGTAATGATACCCTTAGTGCAGGTAAATCATGTTGAGGACACCAGTGCAGCAGAGGGCCAGCAATCGTTGGGTGACAGGTTATTAGGAATCTCAGGTGACTAAAGGAAAAGATTCCAGTAACACCGCCAACACGGGATTCTTACCCCAATTGCCCTGGCATTCCCGATATTTAACGGAATGGCCAGGAGACGACGTTGTAGAGTGATGATGCCAGTGAATTTGAAAGATAATGCAACAGCTTTTCACTGTTATTTTCTATAAATCCAGCGATTAAACTCGAGAAAATAAGTCGTTTACCTTCACGATTTAAACCCGCGGAAAATATCAGATTCATGAGTTTTATAAAATAAAACACCATTAGCCTACTGTACTTTGATCAGCTGCATTTCACAACGCAGTCATCCAGTTACTCAACTGGGAACCAACTTTGATCGCTAGTTAATCTTTTGTATTCGAAAGTATGAAAGTTGTTAGATAGAATAATCTCTCAAAAACGATAAAATTCAAAGTTACCCAGGAAACACACAAATGCAAGGAAGGTCTAATCTCATTGTACAGACTGTCTTTTTTTTCAATATTTTAGGCCATCAATGGATGACAGCTGGCACTTCAGCAGCCAGAATCCTCAGCCTCCGTCAGTAAGTAGCTGTAGATGAAAGTGAATAAAGTGGAAGGACCCGGATACACGAATAATAAGAGTAATAACAAAAGAGCAGAAAGAAATATAATCAAGGCAAATCTGCGCCAACAGATTATTGTAGAGAAATACAGACTACTACATATATACACAAAAAATACAATTACTTTTGTAAAATAGTTACAGATACGTTACCTGAAAATTCTTCCATTTGTGGCATTTTATCGTATGTGCATTTTCCAAATGTCAAAACATCGTCACTTTCAACTGCAACAGGCAACAAAAACAAATACAAATTTTGCAAGTAGTGTTGAGTAACAGGACCAAAAAACGCTTGGAAATTGGGCATTGCATTCTACAGAAAGTACCGATTCCAGTAAGTCTGTAACTCCAGTTTCCTAAATAAGATACCATGTCATGGTTCAAGTGTGGTGTTGTTCCAGCCTAGGCGATGATGCTCTTCATACTACCAGTAATATCTCAAAAAGATAGGTGTGGCCAAGGCGTTTTTATCAGGAATCGTTGCGTTGGCAACTCTTTCAGATGACAAGACCAGTCGCCGCTGGACTGATCAGTATCTGGGGTAACAGCAGCCAAAGCAAACAGAAAAGTTGCACACCGCATAGCTGGAACGACTAACTATGGGTAACAGCTGAGCAAAGGAATAAATAAAGTAAGTACAACAAAATAGTCATGTTTGTCAATGTAGCACGGGTTACACAGAGTCCTACTTAGACAAGAAAAATTCCAAAATTAGCTGCTCAAAAGGGGAAATTGATTAGAAATCGTGCGAGATCCGAAAAAATCCTCCTTTAAAGTGCTGCTGGGGAGGATAGGACTCTGCATATCACTATAATAGGTTCCAGTTTAGCTAACTAGCTTTCTCTAGTCCCTTACTTGCATGTCTCGAATGTGAAACCGTCGTTCCCATCACTTGCTAATACAATTTTATTAAAAGCTTAAGCCTTGAGCAGGGACTACAGGACTGTTGGCATTTTTCAAACTCTAGGACAAATCGAGTAAAAAGTCCACCCATGAGCCATTTTCTTGCTTGGTTTCTTCGAATATTGGAAAATTGTATAGGAAAAAATGATACTTACGGTCAATTTCTAAAGTTGCATAAGCACCAGGAAAATGACACCATCTGTCATCTACAGATTCAAGATG